CAAGTTTACTTTGACAATTTATTGGTAGCCAGCTGGCCAATCACATCAAATGTTCAGATTACTTTGACAAGTTTTCTTTGTTGACCCATACTCAGACGAACAAAATTTTTACTTTGACAATTTTTTCTATGACAAGTGCACTTGTTCAAAAGCTAGCATGCTAGCTTGTGAACAAGCTATAGCTTTTGAACAAGTGCACTTGTCAAGAAAAAAATGTCAAAGTTGCGCGTACAGACGTGCAAATAAAACTTGTCACATAAAAACTTGTCATAGAAAACTTGCTCTTCTGTAACCGGCTTAACACATGTGGAGAGGTTCAAGTTTTCGGGGGAGGGGGGGGGGGGTAGAACAGGGGGACAGTGCTGGAAAAGGCCGTGCAGCGGCGCTGCCAAGAAATGTTTAATGAAATATCTTCGTAGGAAATTTTCTCCAGCGGCAAATTTTTATCTTATATATTGAAATACAATTTGCTTGAATGTTGTGTTAAAATTCCAGATCTGTTTTTGAAGTGAAATTCATAGTGTCATGTGTGGACATTGATGGTAGTTGTAATATAGTACAGTACACTATCTGAAACCTAGCTATGCAGAAAGTCTTGGTTTGCACAGGAAATTTTAATTATTGGGTTTTGCTGCCAGGAAAAAAAATCTTTTCTGTAGGCCTGCCGGGAGAAAACCTACAATGTTGGACTCGTTTGAAGAGGTAACCGTAAGTCTTCGTTTGTGACGATGTCGTGGACTGCAAACATGGTAACCACAACTCTACATCTTGTAGCAAGTCTTGCCAAAAGCCGTCAACAAGTTGTGTTCGCACTGCTTGTCCCAAGTTGTCAACAAGTATGGAACAACTTGTTAACAACGTTGATGTTATCAGACTTATATAATCATGATATAACAATATTGTTACAACCTTGTGTCGCCCATCTTGTAACATTCTTGTGATATCATGACTGTATCAGATCTGTTAGAACAACCTTGTAACAAGCTAGTCTGATGATGCCATCTGATAACAACAACTTGTTTGCAGACCTGTAACCAGGGCATTTTTTAAGAATTCATCAGTGGGGGGGCCATCTACAAAAAGGGACCATACTATACCGAGTGTGGAGCAATGATAGATGGTTTGTTGGTAACAAAAAGTTTGGTGTGGTATCGCATTTAATAGTAG